GTTGACTTTAATATAACTTCTTAATTTAAAAGTAGAAACGCATGAAATCCATATCAATTCGATCTTATATATTTTATTACATCTTATTAATGTTGAATTATTTTATATGTACCCACTAACACAATGTAATTTAGTTTAATATTATATTACAATGTCTAGTAAATTGTTACCCTGTTTTTATTTTAGTGCAGAGCAGACCAAAGCAGTTGCATTGAAGCCAAGTGAGCACTTGGAAGATTTATGTGTCTGGTTGTCTCGTCTTGGGCTGTTTCCTGCCGCTTCTACTTCCCGGCACATTAAACTTTTAAGCATAATTTCCTAGATTCCTTGCGTATTGTTTTTAATTATTGTGGCTGTGCCAGCTGCTGCAGACCTTATTTACCATTTAACTGCCGCTTATTTCGTTATCGAATAAATATGCAAAACTTAAGCGGCAGCTGGGACAACCATTTCCCCTTTTATCTTGACGTCCTCCAGCGCCCAAAATGCAATTGCACAATTCTCAATTGTGCGCAAAATTCAGCACGACACAGTGCCTGCCATAAATTGTTTTTGGCAACAATTCAAAAAGCCCTGCAATTCCGGACGGCTTCTTAGACCATCTGCCGGAAACTGCTCAAGTGCTTGAGCTCGGGGCTCGTCTTCAAGTAAAGCTAAAGCTAATTGTGGTCCGCACAATGGGTGGTCCACACCAAGAAGCGCTTAAACATTTTTGGGGTATATCTTTATATTTTAGAACCATTTTGATGTCGTTATAGAATAAGAGGTGGTATTTTTCAGAAGAAAATTAAACTCAAATACCTAACGTGCCTCTTGAGTTTATCAATAAAGCTTAATCCATGCTATTTTTACGAGTAATGCGTTTACCAGTTTTTCCAACACAACGTAAAAAACAAGAATTTTCAAGTCTTTGCTTTCAATTTTCCATAACCCAGTAAAAAAAGCTTCTAGGGTAAACCGAAAATGATTTGGGAGATTATAATAAGCAGCTAAACCTTTTAAGCTTTCTTGGTCTTTCCACTTTGCAGCCACAAAACTTTTTTCTACGAGATGAAAACAAATTCCATTTTACTTTATGCCCCCCAGACCAACCAGATCCAATCCAAAGCCAACAAAAGGTGCTGCCCTTGGCTAGCTAAATTTTCTAAATAATTTCACAGCGCCTTATTACGGAGGCCATTTGTTGGCCTCGGCTCCTTTTGGGCGGTGGAAAAGTGGGCGGGAAATCATGTAACAGGTTGCCAGCCCATCACACAGGAGATTAGGCAGTCGGAAAATGGAAAAGCTTCTGCTTCTGCTGGACTGGGAAAAGCGAGCAGGAGTAACAGCTGCTACCTGTGAGCGAAGAGTGGCTTACCCTTTTTTCCTGCCTCTTGACGGGAAAAGCTGGAGAAGAGGCCTCGATTTTTAAGCCATGTCAGTCAGGCGGGAAGGACAGAACTAAGCCCTTGGCATGCCCTCACAGCTGTCTTACCACACCGCCCACCCAATCCACTCAAAAAAAAAACGGTAGGAAACATAATTCGAAACCTGTAAAAAAAACTTAAGTACCATTAGTTTTTGCAGATAAAAATTCAGCTTTTAAAACAATTTTAATTAATATAAAAGTATAACTTTAATAATAAGGCATTTATTGTTCATAAAAAAACAATATTTAAAGGTTTACCATATCGAGATGTAATTTTTCTTAAAACTAATATATTTTTATACAAAATTCTAAATTCATGACTTTCAAGCTGCTTTGAAGGTTTGAAAATGAAAACAAAACATTCTGGCATTTAAGACCTTCATAAGATATAACAAACTTCTAGATTTATTTTTCGCAGTGTCCCCCACCTCCCCTCCCTTAGGGCTGCTTTTGTACTTTGGAAAAAAGCAAATATTTGTATTTCTGCTTGAATGGCTGAACGATTGAACTGAGAGCGAAATTTGAACTGTAGCAAATCACACGCGTTTGATTGATGATTTGGCAGCAGTGAGGGGGCGTGGAATTTGGGTATAAACCAACCAAACACAAAAAGTATAAAAAAAACCGAAATAAAATCGGAGAAAAGGTTGCTACTCAGCTGAAGCGGTCGTGCACATGCCGTCGCTCTCTGTGTGTCTTTAATATTTGTACGGGGAAAAAGGAAAAAATGGGAGCTGAGCTTAGTTTTGTTTTGTTTCTTTTCTGGCACACACACATAACTCACATTAATATGCATTGCTGATAAGGCAGAACATCGCAGCTCGCTGTTTAGGGAATCCCGCCCACTGCCGCCACCACCCCACATAATCAAACAAAAGCAATAAATCAAGGCAAACGAAATGAATTTTGATTGTCATTGATTTATGGGCAGTGCAGTTGGGGCACAAACAAGGACTGACCATCCGACCCGCACGCATAATGGCAGCGATAATGATGACAGGAGCAGGACGAAGGAAAAGGTCCCTAAAAAGTTCCTGGACCGCCTTGGGCATCCAATTGGGGCAATTCAATTAACTGTCATCAAATGACAATTACAAATGAAGACGGCAGGTGTTCCGGGAGATATAATCGATTTGATTTGAAATATATAAAAGCATTAGTAGGATTTCTTCTGTCCGCCGAAAGAAAAATCATTTTACAATGATTTATTTAAGGAAAAATCATTTTACAATGATTTATTTTTCTGGGATTAAAGATACATTTTATTTGGAAATAAACTGGCACATAAATGTGTTTTCTTGTATGTGTGTATAATATAGCAAAAGTCCAGTTTCTTATCTAAATAAATAACAATTAATCACAATAATAAATTTATTCGTTATTAACTTTTACTTCTTACATGAGGTATTCAATACGCTTTAGGGTATATTTATTTTAAATAAATAATAAGTAATAATAAGATAAATAAGTCTAAAATATAATTCATTTATTTGATAAAGCTTGTTTAATGGAATACTGTGACGAAAGACAAACGAAACTTTTATGATTTTTAAGCCGCCGGCTCACAACTCAATGTAGCCATTTTCATTAAAAGCGAGTTCAATTCAAGGGTCGCACAAACAATAATTATGGCCTACCATTAGGCGTAGTCATTTGGCCATAAACTTTGTACTCTCTGCGATCCCTGCTAATTGTTAAAACTTTCAATTACACTGGAGACTGGGGTGAACCGAAATGCCATCCCTGCCCCCTTGACCTCATACCCATGACAAAAAGGCGGGCAAAATGTCAGTCTGTGCGTCAGTTTGTCAAGTTGGCAAAAGTGAAAATTACATTTCAAAAGTAGTTGGCAAGTCGTCGGCTTTGCAGCTGCTTTTGTTTCACCGTCCTACGTGACTCGGCCAAATTAGTGGGGCCATGAGGGGTTTTTGAAATTTTGGGGGGGGGATTAAGAACCCCCAACACACGCTTTAAGTGCGCCTTGAACTTTGCAGCAGAAGTGTACTCTGGAGGGCCTATTTGCGATGATTACACGGCGTATGAGTGATTTTAATTTAACGCAGAGATAAACACACGAATGCATAACGACCGAGTCCCCGATTCGAGCCCTTGTACGTACTATAAGTACCCCAACAGGCTGTGTTCGTGTCGGTTGCTTTAAGTAGTTATGCAAATATTAAGCGCACAGCCGCCTTTTGACCTGAAAAGTCAATAGGAAAAACTCACATGGCCGCAGCAATGAGCACAGTCCCTCACACACGAACATTGGGGGCGGACTTACACCCCCACTCGAGAACTTTTCTGAGGGAAAAGTCGGTGGGGAAAGCTGCTTTCCCTGGCCTGATAACCGGCACTGACAAACCACATTTCACCACTGATTGTAAATGTCAAGAGCGGAGCATTTTGAAGGATTTCAATGTAAAAGTTCAGGGGAATAAAAAGTTCAATGAAATCATATTAAACAAATATGAAAAAAAAAGTTTTGATTGAGAGGGTAAATATTTTATATTTTATTTTTTGCAGTGCTTTGAGGAATGTAAATAAAAATGTTAAGAACAAAAACCAACATATAAAAACTGGATAATTATTTATTATTCATAAATAATTTATAGGCTATAAACGCACTCACCTTATTGATTCCGCCACATTTGCTGGGTGCACACGTCTGACCAACAGAAAAAACGAGAAATATGGATGGTGAAATCGAATTCCGAGAGTGTAAACTTAATTAAGAGCCTGCGAAGAGAGTTGATTTGGTTGATTTACACGCCAGCAGCTGCAAGCTTTAATTATATAGATGTGGGGTCGTGAAGAGGTCACGGGGTGGCCCTGACCGACGGGTGGTCCTGCCCCACCCTCCCAAAAAGGGGGTGGTTTTTCGAGCCGCCAGCTGTCGTTGATTGCCCACCGGGAAATGACCCACCGAAAAAAGCAAAGCCAAAAGGGATCCAGATCCAGGCTCTGGCATTTCATGGCTCATTAGGCATGCACATACGTTTGCTCCCCTTCAGCTGGGCACTCGGCAACCAGGAGGTCCTTAAGCAGGACTCCCGCGCCACCGCCACCGCCTCTGCGAAATCGTAACAAATTCAATTTTCTACGACGCCGATTTGGTTTCCGCACGTCTTAAGCTATCGTCGGCTACAGTCGACGCCATGAATATAGTTATTGGTTGCAAGTGTTTGTCTAGATGTCTGCCGGTTGCTTGTTGCCTCCTCCCTCGCATCCCGCGTCGATACCGATTGCGCAGTAAAATAAATGATAAGAATCTGTGCGCTCTGCTCATGAATTACAAATCGCATAAAGGATTTGCCACTGGCTCAAGCTGCTCCTTTCCTTGCAGCCTGCACTCCAGACAGGATGCGGGGCTCACGGAGCGGAAGGATCAGGTCCTGCCGGAGTTCTGGAGGGCTGGGCAAACAAGGCACAGCATGTCGGGCATTTTAATGCATTGAGGGGTTGACTATTTCGGGGAGCTCTTTAATGATTACGGAAAATGCATTAATAAACTTGGATTTTCCATTGAACAGAACCGTAATCTATGCAAACAAGCCCAAAATAGGAATTCCATTTAAAATAAAAGTCATCTCTCTTTCGTTTTCATTACTTTTGTTTTTTTTTTATAAAACGTAGAATTTGTCAGCATTTGTATTAAGACTAATTATTAATTTCAATTATTTGTTTAGGACTAGTCGATTAATCGTTTATTATTGGCAAATGCTCTTTACACAATTCAGATCATCATTTAATCAATTTTAAATGCTTAGTAATACTAATCAATTTTTACACTTGATCAATTTCGTTTCCATTACATTTTTATACAGTGAGTCAAAGGAGTTGCCTTTCTATATCGTAGAAAAAATTATTATCACCGTTGGTTTTTCTTGTCGTCGAAACTGGTTTAAGACTTTTTGTTTTTACTTGATTTCTTTTGTAGTACGCTTTTAGGAAAATATGCCATTCTAACACTCTAAGTAGACTAGGTTCTTGAAATTTATACAATAGATTATTGTTCTTGGTATTGTTTATTATTGGTATCAATTAATTTGCATAAGGTTCTCTCATCGTAAGGTATTTAATTTGATTCGAATATAAATTGGAAAAGATTACAAGTCAAAGGCAAAAAGGCAGGCGTTTCTTACGGTTTAGGTTTAGTTTATATAGTGTAGATTTAGTGGGAGAAAGATAAGAAAGGAAGAAACGGGACTATGGTATCTCAAACAGCCATTTTCGAGTGGAAAAAACATAGAAAAGCTTTTATTGCGGCAGTCGTTTTGGTTAGTATAATTCACCACATTCACCATCTCCTATATGGCAATATATCATATTCTTGTGGTTCTTCTGTTACAACTATTATGAGCACAATTAATTACGAGTTCTGCTGCCGCCTGACAAATTTCTTAGTTCAATTAATTTCCTTTTTCTACTGCTCATAAAATATGCTAAGGCCACATTTAATTTATTCATATTTCTATACTTATTTAATATTCTTGAGCTTAACGCAACACGAGTGGAAATAGCGTGGAACGTGATATTGTGTCCAACATTCTTAATACATCTAATCAGGCTTCAGTTAAGGTAAAGTGAAGTGAAGCAAAATGGCAAACAAAGGAAATATAAAACGCTGTAGAAGGGTAATTGAAACGAAATTGCTGCACAAAATGTGGATAAAAAGTGTGAGTTTAACGGGCAAAGTAAACAAATTGGAAATGGTCTAGAAAAGCAAAGAAAGCTGGAGGAAGTTTGAAGAAAAATTGTTAGCAGCTCCTAAATATTATCTGAAGAAAGTCACGAAAAGTAATATTAGCTTGAAAGATAAATAGAAGAGTCAAACGATATATCTGAATTATATACCAGAGGTAAATCAATAAAATGTTCAAATTTAAATAAGGTAGAAAGATGTAAGATAATATGACTAAAGCTAAAAGAGAAGAACAGATTAGAAAAAGAAAAATCATTAAGGGACTATGAAAAAACGTGCTCAACCGTGCTCAGGTTAAATTGAATTAGGACACCTAACCTAGGTCTAAAACGAAATCCGGCATAAGCGTAGAACGTAAGCTGGCTAAAAGCTAATCATCGTTAAATATACATATATATATATACATAGTATACAGAAGCACATTTTTACATTTTTTCGCTTTACTCCTTTTTTTTGCTGTGGCTCACCCTCCACCGAGTGGCTTGCATTCAAATGACAGCGTCCAGAATCTTGAATCGTGAGCGGAAAAAGTGTCAACACTCGTTTTTTTTCTGGACTTGTAGTGGATTGGGGATGTTGGGTTTTCAAGCGTTCATTATCACGCAACGATGGCGGCCATTGGGGTTGATGATGATGATGATGACGGGTGATGCGCAGTGGGGGCAACCTGAGAATGATGCTGATGATGGTGCTGCTGCTGGCTGGGCTTATGCTGGGACTGGGTTCGGGATTGGGGCTGGGAAATGTGATGGACCGGAAAACTCCACAGAGCAAAAGGCATCTGCTGCTGGACCAACAAAAGCAGTTGGCTTAATTTGTTGGTCGTCGTTGTTGTCGTTGTTGCCCCAGCCGTAGTATCCTTCCCATCTCCTGCTGCTCCAGTTATTGTCGCCTGTGTTGCTGCTCTTGTTTCGCCCGAAACTCCTGGACAGGTGGCAGCGTCGCTACCATTCCGCCGCCTGGCGCAGCGCATCTGCATCAGCTGCAGCTCGCCGCGTCGTCATTCATCCCAGAGGCACTGTTGTTTCTGCCGCACATAATAGGTGAACTGTGTGCACTTGCGGCAGGTCTTGATGCCGCAGCGATAATTCGTCTGTTGAGCCTGCTGCTGGGCGCCCGAGGAGTCGGCTCCGGCGACCCCCTTGCCCTTGCAGTACTTGAGCCCGCAGGGATACCAGCCGATGCAGGTCTCCAGGTTGCACAGGCAGGGCGCCCACAGGCTGCTCACCTCGTTGCAGCGCGTCGAGAGCGTGTCCGGGAACTTCTCGGTGGCCGCCTCCAGGCTGGAAATCGAGGAGCCTGCCGGAGTCGACGAAAAACACACGGGAAGCGAAACAAAAAGGTAAACAAAAAGTTGCAAAGCGGAAAATTTCTTCGGAACTAACCGATATCTACGGGCAAGTTTTTCCCCAACTTATTCCTTTAACCAAGGTTTCAGACGAACTTCTCTATCTCAAATTACTTTACGTTTTGAACTCTCGGAGAATATTATCGAATGCGGTTTGGTTTTCGTAGAGCATTGGACAATTTTAGTCTGCATGTGAAAATGCAATTAGCTTCTTAACTATTTGACTTAAAAAAGGATTTTATATATTTATTTGGTAACAAGAAGAAGTCGAAAATATATTGCGTTTGTGGCGCATAGATATTTAAGTCTTTATAAATAAAGTCATAGCTTTTAAATTGAGAAAATAAATTATTTCGATTGTTCTACACTGGATATACGTATAGCATATATTGTTATATTTATTTCTACTATTAATTTCGTTTCTGCCCAACTTTAACCAATTCGCAAAGCGCTTTTTATTGCTTTAACTTTAAATAGTAAGACGCGCAAAAGCTTTAAAAATGTCATGGCAATAAAAATAGCTATAAAGGAAACTTTTTGAAATTTCACAGTTTTTGGTAAGTTAGTTAAAATTTGTTTGATTTAAATGAATGAAGTTGGTGCACTATATGGTATCAAATAAAGAAAGTTGTACTGCGATCTTCTCGATTTTATTCCCTAGAGATTCTTAGAAATTGTTTGGAAAGCCTAATACCTAATACTAGCTCCAAAAAAGACACTCACCTGGCAGTTCCGCCCAAGCCTTGAGGTCCACATCCCGCACGTAGGTGGCGTCCATGGCCTCGGCGCAGAGTCCCTGCAAATGCCTGGTGATGGGCAGGGAGCGGTTCAGCTGCACCCAGCTGCTCATGGTGAAGGTCTCCCGGCCCTTGTCCTCCTCGGGCGTGCGGATGGTGTGCGGATTCTTCTGGCGCAGCTTGGCCATTGCCGCCGAGGAGATGAAGTCGCCCTTGTTGAATTTGGTGGCGAAGCACATCACTTGGTACTGGCTCTGGCCACGCTCCTCCTCGCCCAGAACCAAGGCCTTGAGGATTTGAACCTCCTGCGGGCAAAAGAGACAAAAGATTTAGAATTTAATTTCTTTTTCAAATTCCTTTTCAAAGCTTCGAGTTTTTTACTTACATTGCGAAAGTCGATGACCTGGGTGATGAGCGTTCCGTCGGTTTTCTGAAACTCCAGCGTTATCAGGTCCTCGCCAATGTTGGAGGTAATAGTCTCCTGGATCACCTCGCCACCCTGGAAAGAATCGGATTAGGGAGCAACAAGTGTTAAATTACTTTCTCGGCATTTCCCATTCTCCCCATCCAACTAAAATATTAATGCAGCACAAAGGCAGTCATGAGCTCAGGGGTTCCTTGTGTTGTCAGGACTTAAATTAACTATGACAGGTCCTGAAGCTGGGCAGCCATGAACCAAATTAGAGTCAAGAGAGTTAAAAAAAAAAGAAAAGGGAAAACATGAGAGGCCAACGAAAACGAAACGGAGATGAGATGAGCTTTGGCAAAGGGCAGGATGAGAACGAAAACAACTCGCCAACCCACAACATCTCGAAATGTAGTTCAACAACAACACCAGCATTTGCCCTTTACACGTGTACACAAACAAATATGTTGGTTGTGCCTGTTGTTGTTGCTATACTCTGGCCTAGGGCATAGCGAGTTTTGGCCAGCGATATACTATTATTATTTTCATGTCTAACTATCTATTCATCAGAAGTGATAATACTTAATTTATCAAGCAATAAACAGTAAAAAACATAAATAATAAGAATATCATCCTTGTTGGTTGAATGTTTCTAAATGACAGTTTTGTTGGGTTATAGTCAATATATTAATAGTACAAATTGTAGACACAATATTTTATTTAGGCTCGAAAATATAAAAATTAAATTAAACTGAAGGTACTCGAAATACACGTCCAATCCACAGAAAAAAAGGTCTTGTAATATTTTAAGCATCAGTAAAGATAATCTATATGGCAAGCCAAAGTACAATGAATCAAATTGAAAAGATATAATAATATTTTAACAGATTTTGTATTCGAAAGTAACTATGTATAAAAATAGTGGCATTACAAGGGTATTTGGAATTTCGGTCCTTAAAACACCTATATTATTCGTTGTTTTTGTTCTTGTTGCTGCTGGGTTTTCTGTGTGTTTGCACAAAGGGGCATGTAAACAAAGAATGACGGAGAGAAGAGAAAAGGGAAAAGAGTGGCGGAGAGGTGAAGCAAAGGAAGAGAGCCATCAGGACATTTTGGGGCCAGGGACAGAGTGCAGAACAATGAAGGATGTCACATGTAAACAAATAAGGCCCCAGTAAGTGCGACTGAGATGGCAGATTTTGTTGCTGTCGGCTTTCATTATAGAATCAGCGCTGTTTTTGGCCAACTAATCTAAAATTTATGGAAAGGACGAAAGCAAAGCGTCAATATTCAGCCAGTCAAACAAACCCAACTAATATTAAAGTGGAAAAAATAAAACGTCAGAAAAGTGAAAGTTCTTATCGTGACATTGAACTGAACTTATTTAATTGGTCTCAAAACAAACAAATTCTTAAATTATTTATTTGTGTCATACTACAAGTTCAGCAACGACCTTATCTGTCTATGTCAAAGATTTTGATTTGATTATCCAATCCATTGCCAGGCTATTGGCAATCATCAGAGAACATGTGCACATGTAGACAATACAAACGATATTTTATACAAATCAAGAACAATTAAGGGCCCATAACTGGCTATTAGTAAACGCGGTTATGGCAGTTGTGCAGATTCAATTTCCATCCAATATAGATTGGTTACTGCTTATCAATTTATGTTCAGGCGTAAAGTTTTCGTAAAGGTTAGACCTTTAGTCTTGCGATTAAGATTTGGAAGAGCAATTAATTTAGACTCTTTTTACTTCCATACCAAACATTCATTTCATAGATTTTTGAGTACTTAATACTTATTCGGAATGTGTTTACCAAACATATGCTTTTCATAAGGTTACACATTCATAAACACAATTTTATTTAAGCTTATGGTTTTCTATTTTTACCTTCAATTTTTGTTTACTGTATTTGGCAATGAATATTAATGTTTCAAAATATGAGAAAGATGGCAACGACTTTGTCAGAATTGAATAAAGTTTAACCGAAACATTATATACTTAAAGATAAGCTTGGAACTAAAACTCCTCGAGGAAAATCTGTTAATTCCAATTGTTTATTTATATAGCTTCATCGAAAACCTCTCTTTCGCTCTCTCCTCTCCCGTTTTGAATTGTTTTGTTTTGGCGCGCTCATTTTCGAAATGAACTGTTCGAAAATCAGATGGGCAGCGCTGCTACCGTCATTGTGTTTTTTTTTTGTTACTTTTGTGTGATTTCAGTGATTTTTTTGTCATGTCGCACCTGATTTTGTACGTTGATAAGCAGCTGGGAATGGACACGGTCCACGCCCATTAACATATTACAGAGCAGGAACCACAAAAAAGCGCGACTGTGCTTGAAATAGTGATTTCGACTGACGACACGACCGCTGCAATTAACACGCGAATGCGTTTTTATAGCATTTAAAGTAGTTAAATTATTTAAGCGCCAGCGGAGATGCGATTGGCGAACAGCTTGGGCGGCGTTTGCGATGCGCTGCTGCGGATGCTCCGCTTCCAGAATCATTTCGATGCGACACACACGATAAATCGTAAATAAAACCGCACGGAACGAACCACTCGCGTCGAAAAAACGAAAATAACTGACGAAAATTCTGATGTTCACTGGAAAACGTCGTTTCGAAATCAGCTGTGCGGTGTGACCGTAAGCGTAAATACCAAAAGCGAGCTGTCCACCTGCTGCAAATGAAACTAGAGTTGCTAGTCTTGCTTAGATCTCGTTAAATCTAGCTTTTTTAAGGTTAAATGCTAGTAAAATCTCCGGGTATATGGGTATATGTTATTTCGGATTTCGGTAAGAAATTGTATGAGTTTAATACTTTTAAAACTTTTTCACAGAGCCATTTTTCGAAAATAAGGAAAGGGGTTAGCATTATGAAAATGACGAAAAATCGACCCAAAAATACAAACCAAACTAAAAACACAGATTTTTAGAGAATTAAACCACAATCATTTTAAAGTATGCCACTTTTAAATCGGATGCCTGCAAAAAAAGTTATGGACTTAGAAGTACAGTTTTACCGCACTTTACTGCATGACCATTTTTTCGAAAATTTGGAAAGGGGTTAGCATGTAAAAATGACTGAAAATCGACCAAAAATTACAAACCAAGCTGAAAATACAGTTTTTTAGATAATTAAACCACAATCATTTTGAAGAATGCCACTTTGAATTCGGATGTCTGTACGAAAAGTTATGGGCGTAAAAGTGCAGATTTAGGGCACTTTTCTGCAGGGCCATTTTTCGAAAACTCGGAAAGGGGTTAGCATTATGAAAATGACGAAAAATCAACCTAAAAATACAAACCAAACTAAAGACACGGATTTTTAGAGAATTAAACCACAATCATTTGGAAGTATGCCACTTTAAAATCGGATGTCTGCAAGAAAAGTTATGGGCTTAGAAGTACAGTTTTTGGACACTTTTCTGCGAAGCCATTTTTTTGAAAATTAGGAAAGGGGTAAGCATTATGAAAATGACGAAAAGACGACCCTAAATTACAAACTAAGCTGAAAATACAGTTTTTTAAAGAATTAAACCACAATCATTTAGAAATATGCCACTATGAAATCGGATGTCTGCAAGTAATGTTATGGGCTTAGAATGGCAGTTTTTTTTAAAGAAAGGGGTTTTATCATGGAAATGACGAAAATATCAACCCGTAAATGCAAATCAAGCTTAAATCGCAGATTTGAATTATTGCTGTGATGAAATGAAAAAGTGAATATCGTGATTTTAATACCAAACACCTCAGTATTTTAAGCAACCTTTCATTATTTCAGCAACATACGTTCACACTGGCGTGACAGCTGATACCTTCACTATGCACTAAAATTGGTCAAACGCTTTGCCCCGCAGTCGCTTGTGACGTGTTGTTTTTTTGTAAACTATGTTTTTTAGCCATTAAAAAGAAAGTAGTTTGCTGAAGATCCACTAAATCCGACTTTAATTGACGGCTGCCACACACAAACCACAATGCTAACCCTGCGGGAGCGCCAAATTAGTGAGAAACAACAAAAACAAATACTCCTGCCAATGGAAAATCTTAATTAATGGGTTTTTCTATTCGAATCATTCCAGATGCCATTAAGCAAATGCTTAATTTGAACTCGCAGCAGCCAAAAGCTTTGGCCGCGGAGCCCGTGTGGAAGATCCTTATCTACGATCGCGTGGGTCAGGACATAATATCGCCAATCATTTCCATTAAGGAGCTGCGCGAACTGGGCGTGACCCTGCATGTGTAAGTGGCAAGATCCTTTTAAAATCCAGTAATAAATATATTCTTCATTACACCAGGCAACTTCACTCCGATCGCGACTCCATTCCGGATGTGCCGGCTATCTACTTTTGTCTGCCCACCGACGAAAATCTTGACAGGATTCAGCAGGACTTCTCGAACGGCTTATACGATGTGTACCACCTTAACTTCCTGGCTCCCATTACACGCAGCAAGATTGAGAATCTGGCCGCTGCCGCTTTGCACGCCGGTTGTGTGGCCAATATCCAGCGCGTTTACGATCAGTATGTGAACTTCATCAGCTTGGAGGACGATTTCTTCGTGCTGAAGCACCAGCAGAGCGAACAGATGTCTTACTACGCCATCAACCGGGCCAACACCCGCGACGATGAGATGGAGGCGCTGATGGACTCCATTGTGGACTCGCTCTTTGCCCTGTTCGTGACCCTAGGCAATGTGCCCATCATCCGCTGTCCGCGGAACAGTGCCGCAGAGATGGTGGCCCGCAAGCTGGAGAAGAAGCTGCGCGAAAACCTCTGGGACGCACGCGCCAATCTATTCCACATGGATGCCACGCAGGCAGGCGGCGGAGTGTTCAGTTTCCAGCGACCCGTGCTGCTGCTTCTGGACAGGAACATGGATCTGGCCACGCCGCTGCATCACACCTGGTCGTATCAGGCGCTGGTGCACGATGTCCTGGACTTGGGACTGAATTTGGTCTACGTGGAAGACGAAACGGCTAGTGCTGGTAAGTATATAACTCATTACTCCAAAGTTTGGAGTCTAAACTAACCAAATCAAGAGTTAATAATAATTTGAAACTTCTTTTAGGTGCCCGCAAGAAGCCCAAAGCCTGCGATTTGGACCGCAACGATCGCTTCTGGATGACGCACAAGGGCAGCCCTTTCCCCACGGTGGCCGAAGCCATCCAGGAGGAACTGGAGTCCTACCGCAACTCCGAGGAGGAGATCAAGCGCCTGAAGACCTCAATGGGAATTGAGGGCGAGTCGGACATTGCCTTCTCGCTGGTCAATGACACCACCGCACGGTTGACCAACGCAGTTAATTCGCTGCCCCAATTGATGGAGAAGAAGCGACTGATCGACATGCACACCAAGATTGCCACAGCCATCCTGAACTTCATCAAGGCACGCAGACTAGATTCGTATTTCGAAATCGAGGAGAAGGTGATGTCGAAGCAGACACTAGACAGGCCGCTTTTGGATCTCCTCCGGGATGGAGAATTCGGTCAGGCGGAGGACAAGCTGCGCCTCTACATCATCTACTTTATCTGCGCGCAGCATCTGCCAGAATCGGAGCAGGAGCGGCTTAAGGATGCGCTTCAGGCGGCCGGTTGTGACCTGACTGCCTTGGCGTATGTGCAGCGCTGGAAGGGGATCATGAACCGCTCGCCGGGTGTCAGCCAGGCCACCCAGTACGAGGGCGGTGGCACCAAGACTGTGTCCATGTTCACTAAGCTCGTCTCACAGGGCAGCTCCTTTGTGATGGAGGGAGTCAAGAACCTGGTGGTTAAGCGGCATGTAAGTACCTGTTTTCTGTTTGCTACGACCACTCTGAAATTAAATTTCATTCTTGGCAGAATCTTCCCGTGACCAAGATTACCGAGCAGGTGATGGAGTGTCGCAGCAACGCGGAGACGGATGACTATTTGTATCTCGATCCCAAGTTACTCAAGGGCGGGGACGTCCTGCCCAAAAACCGGGCGCCATTCCAGGACGCCGTGGTCTTTATGGTCGGCGGTGGCAATTACATCGAGTACCAGAACCTGGTGGACTTCATCAAACAGAAGCAAACGTCCAATGTGCAACGGCGGATCATCTATGGCGCTTCCACGCTGACCAACGCGAAGCAGTTCCTCAAGGAGCTCTCTGCCTTGGGCGGCGAGATCCAGTCGCCCACGGCGACGAGTTAGGAGCGGCTGCTTCGATTCCATTGCTGCTGAGCGGAGTGGACCGGGTTTTGGGTGCATGTGCATGTGTGTCTGTGTGGCTTCTTTCGTTTACTTTAAGCATATCCAAAAATAAATTAAATGCCAGGCAAAAAAGAGGAACAGGCGAACGCAAGGGGCGAACTCAGCACTCGGCAATTACTCCAACCTGACGCTTAATCCCCGAAGGACAACAAGCAAAAACATGCGTAGCCCCGTGTACAACAAGACCAGGGAGCTGGAGCTGAAGCTGGTGATGGTGATGGAATGGGAGAGCTCGGCGACGGGGAGGGGCACTCGCATTCTAGGCACCCATTAACACCAACTTGGCAACGCTTTGATGGACAGCTGACAGACAACCAGTCAACGGCTGAGGCGATGATGGCCCCAGCCCGATACCCGATGCCTTCGGCGGCGGTGCCACAATTATGGGGCGACAACTATGCGCGGCACTTGGGGACAGGCGCAGAAGCTGGCAGGGACAGAACCCGGCAATTAGCACTATCCCTGACCAACTATGAATGGACAGTCGATGCCAGAGCACTGGAGCACTCAACGGAACCACTGCAGCACTGATTGAATGTCGCTTCTTTGGGAGGCGGGCAGGCAGGCAAGTCAATCAAAACAGAGCGTTAAATTATCCCTGGAACCTAGGGATGTAGCCTAGCTTTTTGCCAGTATGTTGTTAGTCCCCTGTTCAGCTTGCAATAAATATTACAGCCTTGCTTATTATGTAAATATTTAAATCGATGTTTGGCTATATACTAGTAGGACATCAAATAAATTTAAAGAATTCTAAAAATCATTTAAGCGCTTTGGTTTTACCTCTAGGTTAAATAAAATTAAAGATCTAAATATCCTACACATTATTTTATAAAAAGTAAAATGTGTTAAACTTCTTCTGATTCCTTTTAAAATATTTCAAAATTGTATTGAACGAATTCTTTAAAATATATTATTCTTGAATATCCAGAGTAAATGTTGTATATTGTCAGAACTGTCTAAATATTCTTAAAAGAATAAATTAAATCAAAAAACGAGCCCAATGCATTCTCTTAAATTGTCCACGAGATAAAGCTCCGATTGAGAGTATTTCCAACCACTGTGGGCAGTTTCCCGAGATAAGCGGACAAACAAATACCAAAAATAAGAAAAATATGGAGAAGAAAAAACCGATCCATGAGCTAATTAACACTTTTGGTAAATCAGAATTGATGGCCCGCTGAAAGGCCACAGTAGAGATGATGACGCTGACGATGACGATGATTATTCATGGAGCGTTGAGTTTAAATATTGGTTTTGGTTGGGTTGCCTGGGTTAGGTTTTATATCCAGACTACCCGTGGCCACAATTTAAATGTTAACATAAACAAGAGCAATTTAACAAAAGCCCAAGACCCAAAAAAAAAAAAAAAAACTGAC